TATACATTATTTCCGTTCAGCAATGTCGATTAAGATTATTTCACGATTTATATTTTATAAGAGCATTGAGATCGTAGTATTTAATACTACGATAATCAAATTTGTGAAAGATTATGGACCGCAATGCAACACTGATGTGCGATTGCATTTTAACTATGACTGATATATTTTGATACATTTGAAGCTTAATACATAGCTAAATACTTTTTCGTGCTATACATGTTACATGTTACCCTTTATCAATTAATATCAATCATGAAATGATACTCCCCGCAGCCACGAACCGTATTTTGCGGTGCGCTTTGGAAACCGTTAATCTGGATGGTAATAATAAAGAATTACCCGTTGTGCGCGTGTACAATTATTAGACCGGGATAAATACTATAATTATTCGTAATGAATGAGGATACCAATGAAACGGTGTTTTAACCGTATACACAATTATTTACATTTGCCAGTAAATACACGTAATCGTAATTAACGTCGCAATTCGCCCCGCGTAATCGGCGAAATTTCCGTCGATATAGCAATTTGCGCGGATCGACCTCTCGCGATCAGGTCCGAGATAAAATCGCGGCCGCGGTGGAGAACGATTGCAGACGCAAGGGACGTCTCTCGCGCGTGCACGAATTACCTATATATTTAGAATTTAGGTTTAGGAAACGCGCTGATTGCCAGGTACGCCGTTACGTTAACGGAGGAGGTGGGACGACGAATTTAAAGGGGGAAGGGGGGAAAGGTGCGGTATTCGCGCGTACCGGCGCACTGACGAATATATTGCGGACCATAGCCTAGCGATTAGGCGATTTCACAAATCGATGTTATATATCTGTACCTGTACACGTGTAAGAAGTAAAGGAAGAAAAAGAAGAAAAAAAGGGGGGGAGTAAACGCGCGACACCGGCGGCCCGGGATCAGCCGGGAACATTTTCTTGTCTCTTTCCATGAATGTATATCGTACTTGTACCAATGTCCCGACACCACATAGCGATTAAAGAAAAAGAAAATAGCGATTAACTAAATATAATTACACCGATATACAAGCGGGAGTACGGCGTCCGTATTCCGTTATTTTTCCCTTAAGGCAACGGTTTTCAAAGTTCCAGCGCCACTTCCCCTCCCATTACAACAACAAAAAAAAAAGAAAAAAACGTTCGTGAATTTTCTACGGATTTTCCACGAATTTTTCCACAAGAAGGAGAATTCCCGCTTTTTGTAAAAAAAAATTAATTTACGCAAATATTTATCATAGTATTTGTTCTACATATTCGACCAAATGTAGCGCTCGTCGCTCGAGAGAGGAGCCGTCTTGGCTTTTGCCCTCCCCCCTTAAACGGAAGCAAAAGGCCGGCCTTCGGAAAGCGCTGCCTTAAGACGGCTTTTTAGACGTGCGACTACTACGTACAAGGGACTATTTCGTGCCGGAAAGTTTTCGGGATCGATAAAGTACCATCGACGTGCCGTCCCGTCCTACTCGTGATTCACTTTTTGGGAACGATTCGTGGACATATTGCCTTGTCGTATTAATGATAAGTACGTGAGAAAACATTTCGTGCGATAATGCGAATTGTAAGAACGCCGAACCTCACGACCAAGTTATATGATATCGTGCGAATAAACGTCGAGAGAGAAAGCGCGTGCGAATTAATAGATGTCCAAGTATCATGAAATACCCCCGTTTAATGTTCAACGTTTAACACACGTAGTGTAATTATATATGTAATATATATATATATAAAAGAAATTTCCATGGAGAAAATCAAAAGTAGTATGTAACACGTGATAAATAAAGAAGATTTGATTAAAGTTGTAGAATTTTACAAGAAATATTGATATAACCAAAAATATTATACTCTTGGATAAATATTATGTTAAAATACTTTAAATTATCCTTGTTCATTTTTAAAAGGCTGATGTTTAATATATTTTTTATCGAAGCATTTTGTAAGATTTACTTGCAAAAAAAGAGCTTTTTCTAATTAGGTTCAGGAATCTTACGTACGTATACTAAAAGCTACATTTACTAATATTGATATCGTTAAAGTTTTCTATTAACTCGAGAAATCTTTTAGCTGCTGGAATTTATGGCAATTTTGTTTTGTAATAAATTGTTCTTCCCTTTTACGTGAAAAGTTGATATTTAATATACTTTTTATCAAAGAAATTGTAAGGCTTATTTCTGCAAAAAGAGCTTTTTCCAGAAATTCCACGCATTACGTACGTAATAAAAGCTATATTTATTATTATCGTTCAAGTTTCTATTCAACTCGAGAAATCTTTCAGCTGCTGAAATTTACAGCAATTGCACTTTGTGCATTAATAATTTCCGTTCTCGGACACAAGGTGTGCTGTTTTGCCGTGCGTACGCCTCGTGCGCGTTTTAGGTGTTCCATAAACTAACTTTACCGTAACTTCTTCTCGTCCGGCCGAAATGTCCACGAATCGTCGACGCATCCGAAAGCTCCTGTTGCGAGACCTGTCGTCCTTTCCGTCACTGACGACGGATCGAACTTGAAGCCTGCGAAGAAAGCCTGCACGCGCACTTATAAGTACGAAATTGCATTAGAGGGACGATTGTCCGTTCGACGACAGAACTGGAGAAAAAGAAAAGGGAAAATTATTTCGACGGTGCTCCGCTATTGCGAATATTTGAAGGAAAATGCGATAAAAAAAAAAGAGTTCAATTTTTGGACACCAAGTGGAGAACCATCCACGTGATTCCATTGTCGACGAGAAATAATTCGACGTGTTAGTTTCTTACGATGTTTTTATCTCGTGTATTAGATCTTTATATATACATATGTAGACACGTACACATGTACACACACACGCACACACACGTACACACACACACACACACACACACAATACGCAAAATACATACACGAGCTACGCCCCCGTATAGCGTGTAACGTGACGTATTTATGTGAATTTTGTCATTTTACTAAGAACGAATGTATTTGCCGTATAATTAAAGAGGAAAAAACCCAACTTATTATATAATGCCGATATATATACATCTAGCTCCCGCGCATGGCGTTTTATTTCACAAGATACCGAACTTTTTCAGATTATCACGACCCAGTAAAGAATGTAATTGTAAAGTGTAATCAATAAAGAATTTTGCCTAATAATCCGAGAACGTTCATCACCCAGTGCTGGTTATAATATCGATTTTTACAGTCTCTGATCGCTGACTTTCTCCCCGTTTTTCTTTCTTGATTTACAATAAAACCAAGCAGGAAGTGTATTTTGGTGTTTCTTTTATTTTCTTTCCAATATTAAAGTCTGAACTAATTATTTACTGATAATTATAGCACTTGGAACTCTCAACGGATCGAAGTTAAAGACCGGAAATAACATCGATTTAACGGACCAGATTTAATGCATCGGCTCAAGTTTATTGTTGGTCATACAAAAAGAATTAACTATATAATATATAAGATTTTTTAATTATATACAATATTTATGAAAAATATCATTTAAGATTTAAAATAAGAAGAAAGCAGGAAAGTATCGGAATTTATGAAGAAACATGGTATCTCTGGTAAAAAATTTTTCTGAAATTTTTTACATAATTTCTCAGAACTTTTACATAAATTTTTTATACTGGTTTTTTTATACTAGACTTTTTTTATGATTGAAACATTTTTCAGAAATCTTAAGAGTGAGTTTACATTTTTTACATATTATAAAATGATCGAATTTGTAGTTCTTTAAACAAGAAAAAATAAAACTGCAATATATAATATTCTCTATTCTTCTCTTGACAATATCTTGTGCAAAAGAAAACCGAAAGACCAACAAGAGTAACTAATTGTAAGTTACAAGGACACGTAATGAATAACATAAAATAAACGAAAATAAGTAAAATGAAGTGAAACAAGATAACATTTTTTTTTTAAGATGAATGGAGACCCATGTATTTATAGACATCCGTACAACCTCTATATTAGTTCCATACAACTATCTTCACGGTGAAACGGATACGTATCGAAATCGGATACGTATATATCTCCATGATAAAGATATATATTTATTTCAGCGAATACCAAATTGTAACATGTAGATATTGTTTAACTTTTGTTAGTTGTAATTTCCTACTCAACAATATGACTTATACATAAATGTTATATATATGTTTACTTGGTATTTGCTGGACGATACTATATATCCCGTGATAGATAGATATAATATGGATCTCTACTGAAGATCTCTCTATTGGCCGAGATCTGTATTGGAGATCCTCTACTCTCCATCATGAGCGCTCATCTATTATGGATTAATTTTATCGATAAAAATGCGTCCTGAATATGGATCAGAATGATGCAATAACTATGATCTAACAGTGCAAAATGCAGCCGTAATAATTCCCATCACGTACAATACAAAAAGATTGCAGAAACATTGCAAAAATATTTTATTGCAAGATTACAACATTGCGAAACGTTTCAAAATGTTGCTGCAGTATATAGCTGTAACATCACAACAATGATAAAATATTAATTTACCTTTAAAAATATCGCAATAATTGCAATATATATAAATGTTTTTCGATATTTCTGATAAAATAATATTTCACAGATGCCATATTATATTAACACATTTTAGCAGACACATATTAACTTTCAGAAATATTATATTATATATTTTATATATACATATATATACATATATATGTCTTTCAATTAATTTTTACATAGAAGTAAAAAATTGTATATAATTCTTATATAAGTATATTATCAAAATTAATACATTTCATTTATTTTTCAAACACAATTTTAAGAACTTACCATTTCAAGAAATTATTTCACTTCAGAACGTAGGTAAAAAAATCTCATATGCTGCTCCTTTTATTTCATCCTCTGTGATTCTGTTTGGTTTTGTTCTTTTTATTAATCTTTCATTTACAAGAAGTAGAACACCATCTGGTGGCGATCTCGTATACCTCTTCGACAGGCAAGCAGTCGAAGGTTCGTCGTGGAAGGCCGACAGATGGCGGCACCTGACACGTGACGAGATGATGACGAGCAGCACCAAGCAGCACGTCACGTCGAGTCAAAGCGATAGCCGATATGTTATAAATAAAGAATATAGATAGGTAGTAATTTTTTTCGTAATCAAGCATACAAATACACGCCGTTTTCGCTTCGCGTGGAGATTCAAAATCCTTCATGTAAATTGCGTTTACGCCCTAATGATGCACTGCAGCTCGTAACGGTAATAAGAACTTTGCTCGTCCCAGGAGCGGGAGGCTGACTCGCCTCTCAGCCGATCGATTCGCGAATGTAAACCTGCGAAACGCTATTTCCAGATGCTCTGCGTAAAACACGGGAGAAGGCACGGCGTCTCGTTGCTGTTCAATCTGATCCCGAAGGCACTCTATTCGCGTCGCAGCGACCGGAGCACGAGTTCCTACAAGATCGTCAAGTCCAATGGCGACTCCCTGGACGGTGAGTAACCTTCTGATTTGTCTGTCGTTTTTCATCGTATTGTCGAGGAACGCGACGTTTCGGAGCCGTGAACTCGCGTATAAATTATCTGTACTTTTCTCCGAAATCCTTGGAAGTCGCTTGTACAAGTCGGATCAATTTAATAAATTTATAATCATCTTGAATGTCGATCTATATGTAGGGCTAGATCGTGCACTTTGTAAGGTTGACTTTTTTTTTTGGAGGTTATGCTACCCGGTTGGGGAACTTGTGTGCCTTCAACCTAATCCTTAGGGTTCTATGACACAGAGTTACTTATTCTATAGTCTTTTACTCTCTTACTATATTATTCTGCCTATCTTCTTAATGAATCTAAATATACTACTTAGCGTTAGCCAGTCTTTTTGTTTTATGCTCTCCTCAAAGTCAATATAGTTCAATCTGCCTCTCTCCCTCAACTCTCTATCCATCTAAGGTTGACTTTAATCATAATTGGGTTATGTTTCAAAAAATAAACTTAGAAAATGCTGGCATTACTTGTACGTAACAATACTTGTGCTACAGCAAATAATATCATTGAATTCAATTACTGAAGAACCTTTGTTGTCACAACTTTTCATACAAAGTTTGCTCTTTGTATAAAAACTCTGTTCTTTTCATCTTTCCTATTTTTCTTTTGTTCAACATCTAATTATACACCTGTTTCTTGTTAAACGTAAAAAGTATAACACATAGTGTAGCTGCAAAAAAAAGCAGACTTACAATTAGATCTTACACTTACTACAAAACCTTTGAAGTCACTTCTATTGTGAATGTTGAATTTTATATAACTTATTATTGAAAATATATTTATATTTCTACTATAAGTGTGCGTGTTACGTTACATTTATTATTTATTTGATATGTTGTAAAAAGAAACAGATATTGACAACAGTGTTTTGGGTGTCAATTCCAACTGGGAGTTGCTAACGCCGAGGGGCTTTAGATTTTATCTTCCTGGAAGCGTAGGACCAGCTTGGTTAGATGCAACGACCACTGCCCAAGTCAAGACTCAGTTTGTCAAGCTGTACAATGATGAAGAATTTATAGAGACCTTAAACAATGAAAATAGGTATCAAGAGAATGTAGAAAGTTGGGAGACCATACAGCCGATGTTGGACTGTGTGGCGCAGGAATGTCCTATTCTTCTGAGAAAGAGCATAGAGGAACTATTCCCAGGATGCTTAGATGTGACTATGTCACATCTTACTATTATAACTATTAGTCAAAAGGCAAATCTCAAGTCGATGAAATGGCGTAAGGAGGCGGAAACAGAGAAACTCGCCAAATATGTAAGTTATATATTACATGATAATACACTTGTTTTTTTTTTAAGTCTTAATGGGCGCGTTCGACAGATAAAGCAGATCGGTGACCACTCAATAATTCTTTGTTGATTAGTTTCTAGACTTACAAAGAATCATTGAACTCTCATTAATCTGCTTTGTCTGCTAAACGCGCCCAATATGTAGTAAATATACATATATCTTAAATCTAAACATATACACATATATACGGTGTCTGGAAACACTCGCTCGCACTACTTCTTAAGGTGATTTGGGACCCAAAAAGAAAAAAAAGCTATATAAATATAAGTCCGGAAATGAGATGTTTTTGAGTTATAGCTTTTATATTCGTAATAAATTGTTATAATAATCGTAATAATAATGGTAACAAAATTATGATTATTATGATTATGACTGCAATGAAATATCCCTTTGTGAAAAATGACTTTTTAACAAAAGTGTATCTATAACTTAAAGTTGTAATTTTCCGCAGTCATAATCATAATAATCATAATTTATTATTATTATTGTCTATACATATATCGGTTTGTAACGTCTTGTGACGTTGTCCGATCCTCTCACTGTGTGGTGCGCACGCAGATTATACACCGTCATATGAGATCTACATTTTTAATGCCGTTTCTGAACAGCAAATTTTTCTGAGAGATTTTTTAGCTAGAATACTCTCGTTGGCTCCGGCCAAGCCGGAGAGGAGACACGAGCGTATGTAAATTTTGGCTCTGTCTGAGATCGAACCCGAGACCTCTAGCAAACCAGTCCGTTATCTGCCAAGCCACGCTCGTGCTTTCATCATTATCATTATTATTACAATTTATTATGATTTTTATTACGATTTATTTATGATTTTTTTAACATAAAAAAAGTGGCTATAACTCGGAAACAACTCATTTCCGAACCTATGTTTATATAGCTTTTTTTCTTCTTTTTCGAATCCGGATCACCTAAGAAATAATGCGAACGAATTTCCAGACATCCTACATATATATTCACAATCAGAGGAAAAGTACATATATACATTATAGTCTATTAGTTTGTTTTAGCAGCCTCCGACATATGTACAAAGCTCAAAATGGTCGGTTACTGGGCAGACTTTATCAATCCCTTCAGTGGACAGCCCTACTTAAGCCCACGGAAGGACGCCAATTTGTATGAAACCGATGAACGATTTCGCTGCATAGGATTTAAAGTACAACAGAGAAACAATTGCAGAATTATTGTGTCTGATAGTAGTCTACAAAATTTTATTGGTACGTAAACAGCTATATGTATATGAATATATCTGCGATGTGTGTGCACGCGATTGATGACAATCTGCAGAGATCGAGATACGAATATCTGCTTATGCGAAGACATTTTATAATATCTGGCTTTTACGTTGCGGCGTTTCTAATTTCCTCTTTAATTTCAGGAAGTCTTTACACCACAGCGCCGGCAAGCACGGAGTTTTTAAAACAAATAATAAACGTTGATAATAATAACGAGGATCAATAAATATGTGTACATACAAGGAAGGAGCGTTTAGTTCACTTATATGATAAATGAATCTTTCATCGCTGAAGTTATAAAACGTCTCTGGCGCATCTGTCACGTATAATCAATTGAGATGTTCGATTATTTATGAAGCAAACGTGACTTGCCAAATTTGACTTTGTGCTACGGATGGATATCGATATAATATATTCATACGTCTTCAATAAAGCCGAATGGAGTGCGCTTTACTTCTAATGCCCGTAAACTATATAGCAAATGTTTATCTAGCAAAGAAAAGTCAGTATATATTACGTTATTAAATAAATTATAGATTTCAAACAACTTATTTGAAAAATAAACCTTTCTTGATAGTCATGGATAGTCAATATATTTTTTTATTTAGATAATATAAATTGAAATTGCTTATAAAACTACTATTTCTATCACACGTTATTCTCCCTTCTAATAAACATATTAAACAAATCATAAAATATATTCAAGCTTGCGTATTCGCCATAAATTCAATACAAAGTACGACCGACACCTTTTTTTTTTGTAAATATACGCATCTTCACATGTTAGAAAAATCATATCCGAATTGCATAGTTCCGCAATGGAGATTCGCGCTGCGTCGAAAATTCGAATATAACTATAAAGTAAACTAAAAATATCTAAATAAGCATTAAATACGCTTCACGAATTCACGGGAGAATTTTTTTTCAAGTTGCAGAGAATTTCATTATTCACTAAACATAGCACAAGCATCACATAACAAACGTTACAAATTCTAACGTTTTCATATATATGTGATTAACAGCTTTGTTTCCTCGAATATATAAAATTTACAATATATCCAATATATCTGTTTGTTTAATAAAACACGAAGCGTTTGCGAGTGCACATTTCGTGAAGTAGACGCGTCCTATTGCCAAGGCGAGGAAAGTCCAATTTAAATGATCTATAATCTTCATGTCAGAATTCAGAGCAACAACCGAAAAATCAGAATACGTCAAAATATGGAACATAAACACAATGCTTAGAAATGAATTAAATTTCTAACCTTGACACGTATTATAGATTGTTTAAAGTGAATTGTTTACGTGCGTGTCAAACCACAATTTAGTATCTTAAAATTACCAAGATAATAACTTATAAAACATAGGTAACTTGATACCACCAACGGAACGAACATTAGCTCGTATACGTTACGAAATTCTGTTACAAAGAAAACTTATGTACAAGAATAACGAGTACTATTCACACAACATATTTCGAGATATTATCATATCAAAGTAAATTTTCTTATTTCGTGTACAAACCTGATTGTAGCACAACATTACTTAACGTTACACATTAATTTTTTTTTGCTTTATATCATAAACAGGATCTAGAGAGAAACAGCTAACAGTAAGAATAATTAATCAAAACCAGTTAACTATAGAATTGTCGATATATAAATCGCTCGTTTAACGTTCTCACGATCCCTGTGTCACAATAATATATTCCTACAGTTCTTTTTGGTAAAACAATTGTTATTTATTAACAATTCATTAACTCATTAAATCCCAAGAGAGATATGCACTTTTTTGTTTTAAATCTTTGTAACTCGGATCCTAATCAAATTTTCATTTTTAGTTTGCAATTAATATTTAGAGGTGAAAAGAATTGCTCTTTCCAAAAATTTAGTCGGCGATAGAGTGGAAGGTCTGGAGAAAGAGATATAAAGGAGGAAAGTGAAAGTAAAAAAAAGTGATCTCTCTTTATTGACAAATATTCAACTAACAAATAATTTCGTCTATCTTTTTGAATAAAATAAATCAGTATAATTATGATTTGAGATCTATAATAATTACATTGATGTTCTACTCAAAAAGATAAACGAAATTATATAGTAATTTAATATTTGTCAGTAAAAAAAAACAGGAGTTATTTACTCTTCACCTCCTCTTTCAACCTTTATATCTTTTTCTCCAAACGTTCCACCTCGCCAACTAGATTTTCAAAAAGAATAACTCTTTTTTATCTCTAAATACTAATTGGAATCTAAAAATGTTCAGGGCCCAATCGATACACGGAGAGAATTTTCTTTTAAAATTTACCCTGAAAATCATGTTAATTGTGAGACAACATAGTATTTCGGCAAATTTTATGTGATTTTCTGTTTTTTTTTTACTGTGCGCTACAATAAATTTGTTGTAATACATATTTAAAAAAAAACAGTGAAAATCATATAAAATTTGACAAAATACTATGTTGTCCTACAATTAACATGAGTTTCAGGGTAAATTTTAATTTTTTTCTCTTCGTGTAGATAATATAATTATTTGTTCAAAATTGAAGCATAAGAAGTTTAAAAAACGTCTAATAGACGTTTTAAAGACATTTTTGTAGGAGATGTCTGAAGAAATGTCTTCCAGACGTCTTATGTCTTGATTTTAAACTTTGTGCTGTCCAAAGAGTTACAAGGATTTAAAACAGAAAAACGCGTACAGGTCTCCTCCAGGATTTAATGGATTAATACGACGTGTACATCACACATATTACGGAAATAACTATTTAAGTGAGGTGCCGACAATGTAAGATTGTAAGATCATAGTGCAAATAGATCGCTCTTAATCGACCTCCAGCTTTCGGAATGAACCGCATATTCCGTTAAATTCTTCGTTAGCCTCCTGGTAGTCTTTCGGTGATACCTCAATGCACATGTCGTCGAGGGCCTTGAGCTCGTCCTTCTTCTGTTTCAGCACCTTCTTAAATTCGGCTGAAAGATAGACGGCGTTTTAAGAAATAATACAATTTGAACCTTTTCGAGACGTGAAGGAATTCATGAGGAGGATCATTCCCCTACCGATCATTTCCGAGAGCGGTACTTCTCCGCCGTATTCTTTCGGCAGGATCTTCGGGTCCACCGCTTCCTTCAGCTCTTCTATGTTCCTGTGTATCTGCAAACGTCGCGAATGCGATTCGTCAGACGTGTAAATTTATGACGCGGCCGTATTTTACCGTAAACGGAATTTAGCATCTCGTGATATTTACTATAATGCGGGACTTGAGCTTGTCGCTCAGCAGAGAGGTGCCGAATTCGAGGATCTTCGCCACGCTGCTGGGAATATTGATGAGGTGCGTCTCCTTGTGACGCATCGGCGTGCTGTTCTGTATGCACCTCAGTATATTGCGAATGTCCGTGAAGGACCACGTGCTGAAATGGCTCATGGTCAATCCCGCCTCGTCGTTGAGATACGTGTAGCCGTGGACCTGACTTTTCTCATCGTCCATCAAGGTCTCCACCACCATACTGTGGATCCGGATCATGTGCGCCGATGAGTATTTGTTGGGGTCGAAACGCCCTTAAAAGCGGAAAAAAAATATAATAGAATGAATATGCTCGGAGATTTATGCTACTTGCTCAAAGCTACGAAACAGAAATATCGTAGGATTAATAATATCGAGCATAACGTAATTTGTTTTACGTAAACCATCCCCTGGGATGTTTTGCCCCTCTCTCCAATTAAAAGTCGCTATCAATTATATATTGTATATTATTGATTGTTTTATTACTGTTTATTGATATTTTAGATCGTTTATATTAATTGACAAATGCTAAGGAATAACATTTTTTTTGCATTTAAAAATAAAATCAAAATTTTTATTTTAGACTTATGATCGACTTGTTTATAATTTTATTGCTTCGCACCTTTCCAACATGACTGCAAAATGTTACTTTATTACTGAGGAATGCTATATTCTTACACTCTCAACTTTTTTGAAGCTACTTCTCTTTTTGCTTTGTTTTTCATCTGAATTTCCAATCACGATGAAAAATTAAGAATGGCATCTGAGTTACAATTCTACCTGATCCAAGAGCATAAAATTAAAATACTTTTTGCTAAAGATGGCTGGAAATATAATCGAAACGTCCAACGATATGTTCCTATTTAACTTACAATTATAGGTAAGAAATATATACCCAAGCAGAACAACAAATCATCATAACATCAAAATAATTATTAAAAGTCACTTTTCGATCAATTATGATTTATTTTAACGATATCGTGACCTGCCGTTCTGCTTGATTATACATGAACACAATTATACACGAAGTATCGCGTCATCATTCTTTTATTAGTTCACTAGCCGATCCTGTTATTAATTTTTATTACTCTTTTATTGGCTAGATATCCTTGACATAATTATATAAATATAAGAAACTCCTATGGCTTTTAATTGTACATACGTAATATGTTTCTTAGCTTGTAATGATATTCTAGTAACAGGTCCAACAAATGTCGTTATTCCTTAGCAATTATCAACCAGTATAGATTTACATACTTGATATTTTTTTAAAATAAGTAAGTAGAAATAAATAAAATTAATCTAATAAAAAAAATTACTACCACTAATAAATCTCATTTTCTTGCTGTTGAAAAACAGGATGATTCGATACGACGAATTGAATGCCAGCGATTGAAAACATAAAAATAAAACGCTTATATCAGCATGGAATATTGTAAATAAGTGTCACATGAGGACTAAATATAGAAAAGAAGTACCATCATTTCTGATTAGCGCAAGCGAAAGATTGTTTACTCTAGCGAATGTTGTCATCATTTAGCTACGTCTTAATAATTTAGTCTTCGGACTTTTGTACTCGGACTTTTGTACTAGGATCGTTACCTGCACACGACATTATCACTTTTCGACCATGCTGATCTCGCTTCAGCATTGGTACCAAATAACCGCTGTCGATGATGGCCTCGAGGTCCGGGTCGTCAACGTCGAGCTTCTGGAACCAGTGGGGATAGAGTTGCCTGATAGTGAGATAGCGCTCCAGCATCTCCTGCGCCATCGGCAGACTGAACTTCTTCGTTCTGAGAAATCTTAGTAGGAAAACCGAGTCGGTCCTGCATTTCTTGATCGCAGAATGTTTCTCGATCCAATGGCGCAATTGCTCCAGCGCGTGCTCCCTCGTGCTGTCGTCCTCGCGTAGCTCCAATCTGGCCGTTTCCAGCGTGTCCGCGTCCAGCGTAGTCTTGTACTCGTCATATTTCTTCTCCTGTCCTTCCGTCACCATCGTCTGTAATAAAATTCAAGTTTGATGTTCCATCTTGATTCAATCGTAATTCGAATTGAATAACATTAGTCCGGCATTCCCTTAATTATTCATTTTGGAAAATAACTGGTATATATTATTCTCCGCAAAAAAATATAATAAGATAAATCGATCGAGCTAGCTAATTAAAATAGCTTTAATATAAAAGCTAGATCTAGCTGATATTAAATTATTTGATTGCGATTCGATCGAAAAACAACATCTCGCATACATAAACACATATACGCGCACATAACACACACCGCGTCAGAGCCGACCAAGAGGATGTATATATTACAATTAAACCATGTTGCATATCGCAATAAAATAGTAGAACTTTAGCAACAGCCGAACACAATTTGCTGTTTTTTACGTCATGTTTCTAATATCTAATAATAAAAATATATTAGGACAAGCAAGTTCTGTATTATAATATCAATGCGGTAGCAATGGTATGCTCCAGTCTTGCTGTACTTCTGCTGCTACATTAATTGACAAGTCATAATGGAAAAAACCGAGCTTAAAGAGGACACAGGATAGAAACCTGCTCTAAAATGATGATTGAAATTGGTAACTGCTGGCATACAGCATTTTGCTATCTGCATGTATAACTACTATGACTTAATCTTAATTATATAATATTTTCTTGTAAAATTGTAGAATTCAGATATTTTAGACATTACTTTTTTATTTAATTTGCAATATTGAATGATACGACAAAGAATAACATAGTTGCTATGTAAAAGCAATGAGAGATGAGAAAATCGAATTAGGAATCATGGTCAAATTATTCTAGTTCGCTAGCAACTAATATGATATGGAGCGTAAAGAGAAAGCATCGGCTAGAGAATCGAGCATGTTACAACGTGTAGTCGGATAGAGAATTACATTAACATAGCGAAGATAGCGCGAATTGGACATATCTATATATATGTGTGAGTGTGTGTATATGTATATTTTCTCTTCTTTTTATAATTCTTCTTTCTATATTTTTGTAAAATGAGAATGTAACCCTTACATACGTGATACGACAATCATTTTATCATACAGATATCTTTCATTCTTGTATTTTATTCCTGGATTAAATTAAATAAATTTATTAAAAAATTTAATTTGTTTATGTGATTAATTATAATTGATTATTATTAAAATTTTTACTATGTATAATTTTAATGTATAATTTTAAGAAAAAGAATTTATCACAACACATAATTGATTTATATTGTAAAAACCAAGAAAGATAAATTATTTTCCACACGATCTGATTATATTTGATATAATATTTATAATAAATCAATTACATTTATAATAAAATTTTAATAATATCAGCTTAATTAGTATGTGTATTGCATTTTAATTGAAATGAATTCAAAAACAAATAAATATATTACGCAACTTTAAAATGACGTCAAGCAAACAATTTTTTCTTTCTTAATTGGTTTGTATCACGCATATCCTATAAATTATATAAAAAAATCTAATTAACCGGAAGTTAATTAAACTTCTTATATAATTCAAATCACAGAAAGAAACAGGAGGAATTCCCGTCTCTCTCTCTCTCTCTCTCTCTCTCTCTTTCTTCGCTAACTTTAAGTAGGAAACACTGACGGAAAAAAAAAACATCAAAACTTTTACTTTTTTTCCAGCAATTCGAAGGAATCGAATGCATTCGAGAGCTATTAGACGACGACAAATTACTTGTAATTCCCCGCGAGTATGCTGTTGCTCAAAGCGACTCGTGAAACGAAAGTGAGACATCGGGAGGAAGTTAGTAAACGAGAAGGGGCTTCGCCGCGGCGCGCACACACAACGGGAACACGCGCGCGTTTCGCGACGTGCTATATTCACCGCGCCGCGCCGCTCGCGCGATCCGCCGACTTTCTATCCTATCACGACACCCAGAGCGCAATACCGCAAACGCGATATCGTTTCCTCGTCCCAGGAGCACGTACACCGACGAGAGAATGGCGATGGTTTAGCGATCCCGGTGTGGCATTGACGAGCTTCTGCGATAATAACGCGCCGAATTCCATCACTCCCGCGATGCGGATATTCACGATACGAATACAACCGTACTAGTTAACGTAAAAAAATTTTCTGTTACACCGTTCGTCGTTTTTCACGATCGTTATCCATTTAACGAAACGCGTTGCCGTAGAAAAAAAGAAAGGATATCTTTGATTGCCGATGGAAAAGACACTGGGATATTATCGCGCGAACTTGACGGACGGGTTACATTGATCCACTTTTACCACTCGCGCTCGCCGAACACTTTTGCAGGTGGATATACAACGAGAGTTAATTCTCCATCCGCGGGAAGAAGCCTCTAAATTGCGCCTCGTAATACAGGCCGTAATTCGATCTGTCGATTAAACGATCGACTTCATATAGATCCGGCCTTTTTCTTTGGGCTTTTCGACATCCGGCTTTCTCTTTAGTCTCTCCCTTCAAGCGTTTTCCTTTCCATCCCATACGAAGGTCAATTCGCACTTAAACAGATACTTCTCTTAATTTATCAAGGAAGACAAGCTTTCTTTCTCTCGTTCCAAAACATTCTTAATATAATAAACATTCTCTCATTCATTTCCATATGTCTAAAAACCTTCACCTCTAATTTTGCCACCACGTTCATTCAGAAGTTACACATAATAATTTACGTTACGGAAAGTTTTCTTAATTACTATTCACTTATTAACAAACTAATAATTAATACTTGATTAATATTCAATTTGCGGTTTCCAGTCTCTTCTTTCCGCGACGATCGCTCTGTTCCTCTCTTCTTCGCGTCTCTTCGGCGAGCTTCGGTCGTTACTTTAGCTGAGCTCTTTTAAGACGAAATCATCTAGCCGATTGAAACTTGTCTAGTCGATCTACGTTGCACTATTTTAATTCCACTTGGCGATGACTCGATTTTGGAGAACGGATCTATCCGCGACGTTGAAGATGCAATGATGAATTTTAGCGCGCGGTCGCGAAACGAGAAAGACTGTCGACTGTCGGACGGTGTACGCCAAAGTAACCCGGTTGCTCGGCCGGCTGGTCAATTTAAGTAGGGATCCGTGGTGGTGCTGACTCTCGACGTGGACGGACTCTCAGGACCTTCACCTACATCTTGATGACGTTCTCCGTCTCTCAGGAGCGAGAGATAGTATCCGCGGGAAGTATATGTTTTCGCATACAAATGTACATCCGGGCCGTGAGTAATTTTAAAATATCCAAAAACATGTGTCACAGTTGCCGAAAACCGTAAAAGAAAGTCTCACGTTTACTGACTTTATTACAAAGCGGACAATTAATCATTTATATATATAATTATCCTTGGTGAAATTATAAAGTCAATTTCTAAATTTATTGTTATACATTTACAAAAATATGTTTTTAACGTATTTTTTAATTATGTTAAAAATATTTAAAAATATGTTAAAATATGTTTCAATATGCTTTTATAGAAATCGATATCACATTTATATAGCAATCGAAATTTAGAATAAAATCGCAATCAGAATACATTTCACGACATTATTCTTCTTCCATATTTTTTTAATTAAAATTTTGAAAAATCATAATCGAAGAAACTATTTCTAAATCTCAAAATTTACTTAATACCTTGCCAAAATAAAAAAAAAACAGATAAAAATTCGATTTTTTTTTTTAAGAATTCTTGTTGAACGTACGACTCGTGGAACTTGTTTAGAATAGTTATTATTATCATTCACAAGAAGGTATTCGACGTGGATATGTGGTGACGTTCACCACATAATATCTTAGAGCTGAGTCAAGTGTTGTTCATTGTCAAATATAAACTGTCAACTATTAAATTTTCAATAATTCATAGCGCACGTGTAATGTTGAAGTTAACTACGCGTATTCCCTTCCCTCCTCATACGTCAAGTACGATTCTAAAAACTTCAGATCAGTACGAAAATTAATTTAAATAACTATATTTAAATAACCATATTTATTTAAACACCATAAATTTAAATGCTTGCATTTGAAATTTTTTTACATATATTTATGGATGAAAACTATCTACATAAAATAGTGAGTACGTTTATAAATGATGAATATACGCTCTTTTAAAAACATCCAACAAAGAAACAGACTGTTCTTTTACGAAGCTTTTGTGGCAAAACGGAAACTGGTTTTTAAATAAATCGAACGACATCTGAAAATATAATTCAAGTGCTTTCAAACGAACTTCAGTTTACAACTGACATTTGTTTCATCAAGTTATGGCTGTTCGAATTTTAGACTTTCTGTTATTTTAATAAACTTATACACAGACATAAAGTTACTTAACATAAACTCATAAACAGAAATAAAAGTTGTTTGAGAAGCGCTTTGGAGTCAATAAATGCGCTATTTTGCTTACTTGACAATATAGTATAATAGCATATGTACTCGTATTCTGACTCTTTTGTAAAACACGCATACCCGCGCGCGCCATGTATAAATAAAGTATTTATCTTTCTTGTAAATTTTACAAAAAGTATAAAATTTAAACAGCCATAACTTGATAAAAAAAAGTTATAAAGTTCATTTAAAAGCTCTTGTATTATACTTTCAGATTAGGTTTATTTAGAAACCAACTTTCGTTTTGTCGCAAAATAAGTTAAAAGTCGCAAACACCTGCATTTTTGGCCACTTTCATTCCAATTTACTCAAAATCCTGACGTAGGCAAATTCTGCCAACGGCAGAATTATTCAGCAAAAAAATTTTCCGGAAATGTAATGTTGCACTTCGGAGAATTTCACTGTAATACAGTGTTATTAACAAAAAATAATATTAACAAAAATATTTTATTGCGAAATAAAATATATAAGTATTAGTTTTATAGTATTTTCGATTATACAGGGTGTCCCAAAACTCGCGAATTTCCTTTTAAGTGCAGATTCTTTAGAATATTCTAAGACGAAAATCCTAATACGAAAATGTCGAGGCTACAATAGTTTTTAAATTAGTAGCGATTAAAGTAGGCTAATCACAGAGCTGAAATTTCGCGCGCTCAGACATGATGAATGACAAATGCTCTAGGTGCTACGATCGAGGGCTCTCTTAACAACACCGAGATTATCATTATTTTTCCTAAGAAATTACTTTTTCTTATATACGAAATCGATTTGTACACTAAATAATTAATTAATATCAGAAAATATTAAAGAAATACAATTACGATCGATATTACGTCAACTGTCAAAATGAATTTATAACCATATATGTTCATTTACCTCGTATGGTGAATATTTTTATAATACCGATAGAAAA